TTTTCCAGCTGTCTGATTGTTTTGGTCTTAAACTCATTTCGGTCAGTCTTCCAATTGAAATATAAATTTGTGTAAAATTTCGCAATTTCATTTTTCTTTAGCTTGAAATGTTGACATAAGTTTGAAAAAAGGACTTTATGCTGTGCAGGGTTGTCACCAACATCTTCAATATTTTTAGCATATAATAATATTGCTGTGTAAGTTTTAGTGATATCAAATTTCATTCTTATAATTTGTACAGTTTTAGTTTATTAATAAAGAAAAAGTCATATGAAGAATGCTACAGAAAAGAATATCAAAGAAATTTTAAGTTAGAGATTTTAAAAGAAATAGTGGGAAATTACAACAAAATTTTCATTACCTTTGAGGAAACAATTGTTAATAATTATGTATAATAAGTATGTATAATAAATTAAAATATGACAGAAATAATTTTTTACTTTAAAAGATTTTAAAATAATATTTGATGCATTAATCTCAGATATTTCAAAGTTGAATGTTCGCAACGGCAACGAAAGCTATTGTAGTCAGAGCAAAAGCGCCACTAGTGAGCGATAAAGGAAGTATTTTGAAACAGAAAAGGGGGCAAAATATGAAACGCATAAACTTGCATAAAATGTTATTAACACGTTATTAGAAAGAAAGTATATATATAATATAACATTAATTTTGAAAAAAAAAAAAATTATTTTTTTCCGTTACAGATCATTTTTATGTATTAAGCATGCATATATTTAAATGGAGGTGTAGTTATTGAAAAATTGAACATACTTCATTAATTATTTAAAAAAAAAAATGCCTGTAAAATGGATATATATTAAAATAAAAAATTGTCTGGTAAGAAAAAAATGGATAAATTGGTAGGAAATTAAAAAAATTTAGTTCTGAATAATTGGAAGTGTAGATTTTGATGTAATAAAGACCTTCATTTTTTTATTTTTACGCTAAGTCTTTTTTTTAATTGTTACAATTCGATTTATATAATAATAATAATAATTTTGAAATAAAAAAAAAAAAATGCACGTCTAAATTGGTGCAAAAGAGATGCAAATACACCATTTCGAATTCTTCCGCCAGAAAATGTTGATTGTAGCGCTCATTAAAGTTTTATTTTCTAAATTCCTAGTCCAAAAAAATTTTTTTTTTAAATTTAAATGAATGAAGTTGTAACTATTCAAATTGTGAATAACTCCATTTTTTTATTTTTTTGTAAATTCGATTCCTTCGCCGAGATATCGATTGTCAAAGTTATCGATTGTCTTTTGTCCGCTAAGTTCACACTCATTATTTTTGTTAAATTTTTCGGACGCGTTGGCTTGGGGCTACGGTCTTTAGCTTCAAGTTTTCGCGCTGGAATTTAAATTTTCTGCTAAGTCGGTGCAGATGGCGCGCGCGCAATACTCTGTCGGAATTGCGACGGCCATCTTGATGATTTTGAAATAACGGCTACTACGCAGCAGCAGAAGACCAGAAACTTCTGCGCGCTCCGAGTCGTCCCTGCGATTCTTTATGTATATTTTTAGTATTTTTATATCTTGTAGCTTAATTAAGTCATTTTATTTTATTTTTCATAAAGTAGTAGAGTAATTTAATCGAAGACTAAATAAATATTTCATATTTTTAAATATTAGAGGTAATTTAGGTTACGATGGTAAAAATAATGTCAAAAAATAATGATATTAAAGTTAGCTGTCACTTGACCATTTTTTAATTTTATTGAACAAAAAAAATTGTTCCGAAAAATTATTTTTCAAAATTTGCATTTTTAATTTAGTAAATTGTCTAAATGTCAATTTTTTTTCTTACTTTTTTCATGCAATAATTTATTTATTAGAAAAATTCTTAAAATTATTAAATATCTGCTAAATTAATTTTCACCAAAAAATAGCAAGTCTCCAACAATTACATTGTTTTTGTCAATTTTTATTATTGTACTAATGTTTTGACATTTATTTATTTATTTAGCAAAAAATAAAAAATTTTTGGAAATTTGCTGGATATAAATTAATATTTTTCAAATTTTTATCGACAATTTGTACCTACAGGTAATCAAATAATGAATCGTGATACTAAAATCAGCAAACATCTAGCAACTTTAAAAAATATCAACAATTTTTGATTTTTTTTATTAATTAAAAATTAGAACTAAAAAAATATTTTTAAACAATTGCACGTGTAATTTTTAAAATTTTCTACATGTGAAAATTTTTCTTTTAATTTTTTAAAAATTACTTTTCAGTAAAATAAATTATAAAAATTTTTAAATGTCAGATAATATAATTTTTATATCATTCTAAATAAAATTTAATAAAAAATAGAATTTTCTTTATTTTTATCAAGATTAATATTGTTCAAGTTATTTATTATTTTTTCAGATAAAAAAGTGTCAGTGATTATTAAATGGTGAAAATAAAATTGAAGATATCTGATGTCAACTACAAGAAAACGACTCCGGATCAGCATCAGCAGCCAAGAAGTCCTCATCTGGCATCGACCGGTAGAGAAATAGCAGTTAAGTGATGCTAGCTGGCTGTCAACACTTGGATGAAGTGTTATGATACTAAAAATAGCAGACATCAAATACTTTATTAATCAATTCCATTAAATTACGTTCTATTCTTTGAATTTCTACATTTTCTTTCATAATTTTTTTTCATTCATTCTTGTTTAAATATACACTTAATGAGATTCTGCTGCTTTTAGTATCATGTTGATTTACCCTTCTGCATATTATTTCTCTGCCGAGGTTTGTTATTATTTTTTTTTTACTTTATTTATTTCATAACTATTTTTGAAAATATATATTTAAACAAATAAATATCTCTGAAAATTAGGAAATTTGTAGGGACAAAAATAGAAGGTAAAAGAGTAAATAAAAAAGAAACAAATATTAAATTATTGTGATATATTTTTATATTTAAATAGTTTTGTTCCATCCAAAGTCATAATAAATTTATTTTATGTTATTAAACAGTATAAATAAATTTGTTATTAATATTATAATTTATAAATCGACAATAATTATAGACTTTATAAAATTATAAGATACCACTGGTAGTACAAAGTAAATCAGTTGGAATGGAAAATTAAATACAATAGAAAAATTTATCGTAATGTACAGCGTAAAAAACATTTTATCTTCTATTAACATATATTTATTACTTTAATGTTTAAATGCTAATAAATAATCGCATCCTCTGTTGTCAATTACAAGTCATTTAAATACATTAATATTATTATTGTTATATTTATTTAAATTATTATCATCATTATATTTTAATACGATTGTTTATTACATTATCCAATAATTTTTTTGTTTTCTTCTCTGAAGAACCCTGTTACCTTGTAATTTATGTTTTGTTTTGATCGACAATTTATTTTTATTTTTATTTTAATTATTGCAGCAAAACAGGTTAATTAGTTTTTGTCTTCACATTTTTATTTAATTTAATATTTTATTAAATACATTTTTGTGTGATAATTTTTCTCTGTCGTAGTTTTATAATAATAATTTTTTTTTTTTTAATGGTTTCATAATTTCGTGATACAAAAGTAAAAATTTATAATAGCTAATAACGGAAAATTAAATAAAAATGTAAGTAATAAAATTATACCTGTAATGCTACTTAAATTATTAGGAATGTGCGAACACCGTAAAAAATTAACACTTCCAATAATTTAGACCCGATAATTTTTTAAAATCAAAATTCAATTTTAAGAATAAAAAAAAAATATTTCCAACTGAATTATTTTATCTCCACTAAAAAAAAATAAATAATTCGCACACGCCCATAATTCACAAGCAAGTACAAAAAGAGCGTAAAAATGATAAAAATAATGCAAAAAACAAATTGCACCTTAAAATTAAATCCATTAATAGTATTCCTTGGGATAAAACTCTCGTCAATAAATTTGTTATATTAATCAATTAAATATATATAATATTTCTATATAAATCTATTTTTATAGAATAATATAATACAAATTAAAAATTACAAATAATATTATTTACCACTGAGAATAATCATTCAACCAATCAATCATCAATTATCTGAATAATTCACTAGATTTTTCAAATCGTCTATTCTTACGTCTTACATACCATTTAATATTATATTAATCAATATTAATAATTAATAATAATAATTATTCATTTATTTTCCGCCTTGGACAAGTCCGAGACTCTAAGTGCGGGTTTATTTGATTTTATCACAGGATCCCGTTATTATTTTTGTATTCAATTTCATTTCTCTCCACTCTTTGATTTTTTAATTTAATTATTACTTTTTATAAATTTATTTTTATACTTTTATTATTTTTACACAGCTTATTAACACTCGATCCGAAACTTAAACCTAAATCTGCAAGCAACTAGTCTAAATAAAAAAATTTTTTGTTTTTTTATTTTCAATAGTTTTTTTTTTTCAGTTGCTTGGCTATTTTTATTTACACTTTACAAAAGAGAGTAGAGAATTGTTAATTAATAGTTATTATTTATACCCATCAACTATGTTGACCGAGTAATTAAAAAATAAAATAAAATAATAATATTAATATTAATAATTAATACACAAAATTAATAGTTAATCGAATAAATTAAATTTTCAGTCCTGTTATAACACTCTCGTATACAATAAGAGTCTTAATATTTAATTAAAACTTTTAATTATTATTTTTACGTCCTGAAGTTCAAACTCGAAGTCACTTATTTATTTATTATTTATTATTTCACTAATAAATAATTAAATAAAAGAAAAATATATAAAATAGAATAAAATAAAAACACCGACGGCCATTTGAGAAATCTGGCACAGACTTGAGATAAAAATAAAAATAAAAAATGGCACATTGGTCACTTTTAAAAAATCTTGATAAATAAGTTTATCCGCTCGATTAACATTATTAATTAACTAATTAATTAGTTAGTTAGGGATTAGTTAATAGTTTAATATTTATGATTTATTATTTACAATTTCCACTTGATCGTAAGAAATGAAAGATCACAGCCACTCGGTAAGACAGCCGCCGAACCACATCACGGCAATAGGGAAGAGATAGGACGTTAGGGCGCGAGTTAGAGACATTCGCGGGCGACTCGCGGATCCACTACCGCTGCCGACGCTCGTCGTCGCGTTTTGACTACCCTCGTTCTTGTCCAGACTGCCCCCACTGGACTCGGGGCTCTTGTCGACGCCGTTGTCCACTGGACTCTTCGGCGCGATATCCACCTGCGGTGGTATCACCGGAGGCACTGGTGAAGCTACATTCGGGACTTCTGGCTCTGAAGGTTTAGGGTCTTCGCCGGATCCTTCGCCCCAGCCATCTTCGTCGTCGGTTATTACGTCGTCGTCGCGACCGTTTCCGGAACCGCTGCCTGATCCTTCAGGAATGTCTTCTGTAAATTTTTTATAATTAGTAGGTGTTGATTTTCTAAATAATTTTCGCATAATTAATTTGATAAAATTCTCGTGATAATAAAAAATCTTTTTTTCAAGAATAAAATAAGTAAAAAAAAAAACATATCTGATTATAATAACAACAGATTTACAAAGTAAACATTCAAAGCTTCAAATCGAATTTTTCCACTATCCGATAATTTTGTTTAAGCATAAAAAGTTAAAAAATAAAAAGTACAAACCAGGGTCTATCCAATCAACATCTTGGCCATTAAATGCGGATCTGAGCCGACTGGTGATTGTTGTGAGAGCAAATATTTGGTCTCTAACAATCGCGGCTCTGGGACCAGCTCCGCGAACCTCTGGGTTTAGAGTCTGCGTCTCGCCGTCGGACGATACCGGGTATAAATATCTAAAAACAATATTATCGTTAATCCTCTTATAAACAAACAGAAGTCCAGAAAGAGAAAGAGAGTCGTTAACCTCAGATTAAACAAAATACAGATTGTATTTTATATCTAGATCTGCTACTTTATTTCAAAACACAGTTATTGATATTTCTTAGATGTTTTATTTTTAAATTTTTTTTTACAAAAAAAAAAGTTTACACTCTAAATTTATGAAAAATTTAATATAAATATAGAATAATTAAAAATTTTTAATTGCTTAAAACTTTAAAATGTAAAAAATTCAGTACAATAAAAAAGGTCAAGAAATTTTGCAGTCACTGTGTTTTAAAATGGACCAGTTCAAACTGTGCAAGATTAAAAAAAAATAAAACAATTACTTGTCAACATGTGTGCCGTTCCAACATTCCTTGGTGTTGCTCGCGGGAACCACCAACCCGTCATTGCAAAGTTGGTACGGCAAGTAAATCCAAAACTGCCTGGAATCTCTGACCCTCTGGCGAATTTCCTTGACGAGTTTGTCGAGCATCGCCGCGGTCGTCGAGCGGCCGTCTTCTCCAGATTCCTGGTCAAAGTTTCCCGGATCAAAATCGACGTCACGGGCAGCTGCCAACGCGGACGGACTTCTTCGACGTCTCCTCCGTCTTCCAAGTACCGGTCGCCCGCACCCGCTGAACACCCGCTGGGACACGTCGTGGCTGTTCTCCTGGAAGTTCATTATGGCCTCGGATATCTTGAGATTTATCGGTCGCACCAGCATCTCGATATTGAACGGCCCCAGCAATCTCTCGCCTACTTTTCCAACCGCCTCTGCAATTCGAGTCATCATAATTAATTAATTTATTTAGTTGAGCAAATAATAATAATTATTGTCATCATCTTTATCTTTATTTTCACCGGGATTGAGATTGAGATTAAGATTTATTTATTTTAAAATGACGGTGATATTTATTTGCTCTAGAGAAAATTACGGTTTAATTAAGTGGAATTGTAGATGGAGACGCAATGAAATGCGATGCAATTTATAAATTTCGCAATCTCATTTCCTAACATGGGACAGAAACGTCTAACTCGTATTTTATTTTTTATAGAGCTCATTAATCACTAGAGGTTAACGGTTTCTTGGAAACTCGGGATTTATTTATGTTATTGTTATTTTTATTATTATTATTTTCATTATTGTTGATGTCATTTAACTGAAAAGTGCAATCGGATTAAGTGCGGGTAATAGTATGCGGCTAACTAACGTAGAAAGGAATAATTAAAGAGTTAATAATTCATGAGCTGGAATTTTATAATATTTTTTGATGTCATTAGATGTACAAGTTAGCTAATAATTTCTAGGAAGTATGCGCTTTCTAGTGACCGAAGATATGTTGGTATTCTTGATTGTCTATTAGGTGAATTTATTTTAATATAAATTGATTTATTTAGATAGAAAAAAAATTTTAATTCAAGATAATTTATTTAAAAAATAATTATTTTTATAATTCCAGTTTAATTGTACAGCTTTCATAGATCTAAAAAAATTTTTTTTTCTTATATTTTATAATTAAAAGGAATGCTTATTAATTGGATAGGTTCTGGTACGTCTGACAACAAAAATGAAAATATATATAAATTATAAATAATGAAAGAACATACCGACAAAATGATTCCATTCAGCATCGAGTGCAGCGTGTTGTGTAAGGCAACCCTTCATGACATTAGCGCACATGTCACCGCAGGCAAGTACATTACCGGGTATGCCGCTGCAAGACGGGCATGCTGTCATCCTGGTCAATGCTGCTGCGCACTCGGGCGAAACCTTGAGCTGTTTTTCAACATAAAAGAACAAAACCTTTTATTATTATTATCATTATTTACAACAAGATGCCGCGATTTAAATGTTTAACTACAAGTCAAAGCAAAGCGTCTAGCGTCTAATACAAGAGGATATGTCTGATGTGGTGACTACGGGTAGTCCTTTCCCAAGTAAAGGACTCACCCAACCGTGATAATAACCGATTGCTCTGGTAATTTACGTGATTCAGCATTCAGACGTCGGCTTATTTCTCTAAGATATTATATTGTATATTATATATTGTGAGGATATTAAATACATACCGTCTGCATGTTTTTGAGCACATCCGCGGCGACTGTCAGAGCCTGGCTGAAGGCCCTTGTAGCTATGAATGACCTCTTTATTTGGACGCCCAATTTCTGCGGGACGTCACCGAATGGACGCATGTCTTTCATATGATTGCCCACGCATTTTAGGTACTTTGCGTCGAAGTTGTACTGACTGTTGAGCACCGTGAACATTTTTTGGTACAGGGTATTGAAAAAATTGTCCATCGCTTCGTCTAGGTTCACCTGGAAAATTTTTATCATTTTAATAATTGAAGAAAATAAGAAAAATTTTATGACCGGCTTTTTTTTTTAGAATAAAATTTTATAATTCAATTTTTATCATCAGAAAGATCTTGAAATTTGAGCCTCCTTATTATTTTATATATTATTTATTGGCAATAAATTTTTTATTGTAACTTTTTCGAAGAGTTTTGAATAGTATTTTGGACCTTATAAATTTTTCCTTGACATTTTTGATTAAATAATTGATAATAGATCCTAAAATAGTAAGATTATTTTTTTAATTTATTTGAAAAGTACTCAAACTATTTATACCGTGATAAAAAATATCGAAAAATCATTAAGCCGAAGTTTTTTCATTCATAATTCACATAGTGACTACAGGTTACTAGTGATTATTATTATTTATTTTTTTTTTTAATGATGAGTCAAGTTGAGAAATAATTAAATAAACTTAAATCTAACTTAGCTCCGCCTACTCGCAACAAAACGAAAAATACAGTGATTAATTTAACGAGTTAAATTTAAAGTGGGAGTAAAGTCGTTTAACTGCAGTTTAATGGAGACCAAAATAATCGCGAAGGACTCATCAGTAATCGCGGAGTGATTTTATAGTGGTTTTATGTCAGAAGCATTGATTGAGCATCCACTTGCACGCGATAATACTGCCGCGATGAGTAATGTAAAGAGAGAATAATAATGTAAGGAAAAGCTTTAGCTTTGCGGAGATATCCCGCCGGTAGTTCCTATCGAGCTGATTTTTTGCTGAATTGCGACGTTGAAGATTTGATTTATCGATCTTTTATTTTTTTTATTTTATTTTATTTATTATATTATGACTTCTTTCGACATTTTTTCAACAGTATACACTTTATCCTATTGTCTACGGTAGACTTGTACTTCCGGAGAGAGACCTACCTCGAATATTTGATTAAAAAATTTTTTTAAGGTCCGTCATGCTTCACAACTTTTTTATGGGATCCTCCTCTTCCGTAAAAAAAGGTTGTGTGAAGAATTTTTTTTTTCTTATATTTCTTTTTCAAATGACTAATTTTAATTTTGATGGGAATTTAATTTATTGGAATTAAAAATAACTTAATTAAAATAAAAATTATTTTGAAGTTACAAAATAAAGATTTTTAAATATAAAAAACTATTTATAATTTTTTATAAATTTATTTGATAAAAAAATCTTAAAAGTTTTCAAACATCTGCTGATTTCAAGATCACAAAAAAAATATTTAAAAAAAAAATAAACTTACCGTTCCCTTGACGTAATAATTTTCCAATTCATTAAACAAATCAGTGAAAACATAAGCGTTTTGCTCGTACAAAATTCCATAAGTTTTTTTGAACATTTCATGAAAGCCCTTCTTGGAGGACGCCAATAGCTCTTTAAAGAAACCTGTAACAGGAATAGAATTTTTAATTAAAACCGTGCGTCAATCAGAAGGTGTCAGGAAAGGTGGAGGTGAATTTCCGAGGATTGAAATTTTTTAATAAGAAAAGTCTGAGGGCAAGCTTTACTCCCTGGGGAAGGGAAAAAGAGCGGGATAGAAAGTTAAAGAGAAACATATTAGAAAGCTATTCCTGACTCATTGTAAAACCAGGAGCTAGGAGCTTAAAACTGAGCTCTACTTGGACCGGGAACAATTTACTTTTTCATCTCGGTTTTACTATTACTAACTTAAACTCCTTTTTCCTGCCCACCCCCTCGCTTTCCCCTCCAGTCACTTGAGAGTCCAACGAAAGAATGAGATTAAAATTCCTTTTAAACGACAGCCACCCGTTTAAAAGAGTGAGTGAGAGGAGAGAGAGGAGAGTAATCGTGTAACGAATCCCATGGCATAGTATCCTCTCTGCTCGCTGAAACTCTATTCTGGTCGGTCGCAAAAGCCATTCCCAACCCAGCTCCCAGTGGCATCCAGCAAAAGCTCAAGCAAAAGAGGAAGCACTTTGCTGCGGCAACGCTTTTAATTCACCAACCTCTACTCTCTCGTATTTTGTGCCTCTCCTCTCGCCCGGTAAAATCTCAACTAATTTTAGCTCCCCGACATCTCCATTGCTTCTTCAATTTCTTACATTACATTACCTGAGGCGAGCCGTACACCCGGATGTGGATGACAATTTCCCGGCTTCATTCAATAATTTCGTGTTTCTGCTCGTAGAACGGATGCCAATTAGCACGCAGTCTTACTTCAGATGGATTTTTATTTTTATATACACTTTATTACAATTTCAAGATGTCTTTACATCCGTACCTACAAGACCACGGCTTTTGGCTTTCTGTCTTTTTTATTCGAGTTAAACCTCTAATTAAAGATCGTTAAATACCTACTTAAGTTTTTTTTTATTAATATTTTTTTTTTTTTTTAATTCCTGCATTGGTAGGAGAGTTTATTAATTGTTCATGAATTAATTTATTTTATTTATTATTTATTTTATTTGTTAGATATTTTTTCTCCAAAACTCAAATGTTAATAAATAATTAATTAATTAGTACAAATTCGTTATTAAATCAAAAGTTAATAAAACTTATAAAATATTAATAAATTTTTTTATCAGTGTGTAGTAAAATAATAATTTCTTAAAAATGTTATCTTCAACCCATCTAATCTAAAGAATCATAATAAAATAAGTTATTATTTAACCCCAGCGGAGGTTTCAATTAATTTTAACCTCGGAAGAGCTACTCTCGGGGTCCATGACTCTCTTTACCAGTCTGTCTTTCTTAACGCCGACTCTCAGCAGAGTTTTCCTTTGATGCGGCTAGTGGGTACCTAGCCACTGCGGAGCATATAGTGCCCTTACATACTTGTACTAGACTTCATACACATGTACACACATATATACATGAAGTAAGAGTGCAGCAGTGCTTGATACTCGGGAATAGGCACTCTGGAACGGCAAGGCCTCCCTCATAATGTCTGACGAAACCTATGTCGTGTGTCGGGGACATGTGAGCTTTTCCTCTTATTTCTTTTTTCACTCTTTACTCTTTACTCAAGTACTGCCTAGGACCCCTGTGCTCACTACTTATTACTCAGTACTCTACTCTGTACTCTATACTATGAAATACTGTTCTACTACCATCTTACACCCCTTTTCTCCTACTTTCTTTGAGAATGAGCCGAGTTACCAGTTAAAGATTCACAGACTTGCGCCCACTGGAGATTTTTTTTCCCAACTTTCTTTTAATTATTGTTAACTTTTTTTTCTAATGCTTTTGCATATTTAACTTTGATGTCTAATAAATTATTTTTTAATTTTAAGCCCTCATTTTTTATAAAAAAACTTTTAATGAATTAAAATAGTCTCAAAAATGGATACTTTTAAAATAAAAAGTTTACCGTGAGTTAAATTAATTGGCAATTTGGCTTATTACGAAAATTAGGGAGTAATTAACAATTTCCTAAAGAATATAATATAATAATTAATAGCTAAGTTTTGAAACAAGGGTTGTTCGAAGCTGTTAGCGAGGTGTACAGGTGATTGCACTCTTGAATTATCTGAAATTAAAGTGCCCCACTTGACTCTGAGTTCGAGTCGTCGAGAAAAGTTCCGAGCAATAAAAACTAAATTCATCGAGTAAAGTAGAAAAGCAACTGACGAAGAAAAATGATCCACCGTTAAAAAATGGTCTCCGTATCAATAATAATAATAATAATAATAATAATAATAATAATAATAGAAGAGTAAATTTAAAAAAAGCTCGATCGAATAAATTTACGACTTGAAATTTATTTTAATTGAAACCCAAAAATAATTGGGGGCGAAAAAAAAAGGAAAAGTTGAGTAAAGTGAAGATTATTTGGCTTTGATCCGACACTCGGGAGCCACTGGAATCTCCGGTGCTCTGGTATCCACCCTCGCTCTTCGTTCACATCTCTTACATCCCCTAATATAAAAGGTGGGAGGACCTGGACCGGACAGGTTCGATCCCCCGTTGTCACTTTGCCGCTAACGAGAAAAATTCTTTTGACTGGATGGAATCCCAAGTTTTAAAAGTCTCATCCCCTGTTAGCGCCCTCCAGAGTTTTTTACTCCTACTACAGTATAGTGTACGCACTAGTATACCTTTAGCTTCAATTTTCAGTTTGTTCTTTACTTTGATTACGTGGATTAAAGAACCCGGGTGTAGTGAGAGAGGGTGAGAGTATGGAAAGTATTAAGCACCAAGGTTGATGTACTCACCATGAAATCTTGCTCCTCTAGTGGCGAGAAGTTGTTGCAGTCGCTGGAGGGTTGCTTTCGTAGCTTTTTCATGTCTGTCCCGAGCTTTTGCTTGCAGCCTCTGCTCCATATCTGCTGTACAGCAAACCTCTCCGCCGCTACTTATCCCACCGCATGATCTTAATTCTCGCGCTGGAAAAAATAGAATTGATAGATTAGATAAGCTTTTAAAAATCAATTGTTAGATTTTTTATTGATTATTGTTTCGATCCATGGGTTCTTTAATTAATTTTATTTCTTAAAATATTTTTTAATTTTTAATTAATAAATTAATTATAATAAATAGACAATTTTTGAATGTTAAAAATTAAATTTGAATGATTTTTAAAAGACCTCAATAATTAGTCTTTTGTCTAAAAATTTAAATTTAATTAATATAATCATAATTAATCAATTAGTACGAGATAAAAAAATCTTGGGCCTTGATTCAATCAGTCAGTGACCTCAGTGTCAATTTACTGATAAACTAGCCCATAAATCTCTTGTAGTATTTATGACACATAAAAAAGTGTCGCAATAATTTTTTAAAATCTCTGGCGATTAATCACAAAACAAAAAAAATGTATATAAAAATAATAACACTGTCTAGGACGACGAGGTTTTAATTATAAATATTAATCACGGTAGAAAAAAAAGTTAAAAATAAAATAAAATAAAATAAAAAAAAAAAAATTTAGTAATTTCCTCCTGGCAATTTAAGTTACCGGTCATTTAATTATCTCCCAGACAAATGGAAATGAACGTGCAATAAAAATAATAAATAAAAGAGCTTAACGATAGGCACACGCATCCTCGAGCGATAGTTGGCCCGCGATAAAAGTTATTTAGAATTTACTCGTCACCGACGGGGTTTGCTGGTTAACTTTTTATCCGTAACTCTTGTCCTACCCGCGTACTTATATTATACGCCGTTATTATTTGTATTATAAGCCGTATAACGCGAATGCGGCCATACAGAGGATTGAGGATAGAGGAGGAAAAGGACGGGTGAAACGGGAGAAAGAGGATGCGGATGAGGATGACAATGAGCTGGACGGGTATCAGTACTCTATTACTCCAACTATCGCCATAGTGCAGAACGCAGAACTCATTCTAGTTTTCTCTAACTCCCAGTTATATCTCGGCCCTACTCTCGTTATATCGACGCGCCGGAGTCAGAGCCGCATGACTGGTTTTGAATGACGCGATAAAATTTGCAATAAAATACTCGGTTTTCTATGGAAGAATTGAGATATATCTTGTGTACCGACAACGGAAGGAACTTGACGATATATTTAATCCCGGCAAAATTATTTCATTTACTTTATCCCTTTTATTTATTTACGATCAATATTTACTATTATTGTTTCATTGTTTTATTTCATTTATTTCAATAATAAATTTATTTCAATTTTTTATGCAATAATAATAATGAAATCAGCAGCTGCCTTTTTTTTTTTTTAATAATAATTTAAATTCATGTACTGATTTTTTAATTTCCGCAATAATTTATTTATAAATAATTTTTTAATTCAATTATTAAAAATCAATAATTTATTAAAAGTTAATTTTTATTATAGAGTAATTAAAGAGCCAATTGGAGCAAAGTTGATTTTTTCATAATTATAAATATAATACAAAAGACTTTTATGTTTGATCATTAATAACTCAACAAAGAAAAGACATCTTAGAAATAAAATCGATAGAATTATTTTTTATGATAGAAGCGAATATTACACGAACCAGTGGATCTGGCTAGCACCTCTGCTCGTATAATATATAATACAACACTTAACACTTAACAGTCGATTAGCCAAACAGCTGATAAAAAGCCTGTAGAAAAGGTCAGTTATGGGTACAGTAGTTTTTATGCACCGTTTTTGTGTTAAACGACATAAATATCTCTGAAGAGCAAGAATAAACTCCATAAATAAATAAATAATACTATAAAAGTCCACTTAAGGCGTCTCGGGTAATAAAACGAGCTTTATAGTCCAGTGTCAAATTTTATCTATTTATATATATATGTCTATATCTATATAAGTCGGAAGATATACGTGTATGAGTGTATAAGTGGCTCTATCTATTGCAGAATTCAAATATCTTGTTTCCATTACACATGAGCAGTAAAACGCTTTGATGTTTTAGATTCTGGATCATCAAAGCTAGGGATTCTTTTATTTTTCTTTATCTTTACTTGTATTGAGAATTCACAAATTCCAGCCCCTCTAAGATTCGGAAAATTCGATTAAATCCTTATTTGAAGGACCTTTTCTGCGTTTGTGTATTTGAAATTCAATCCAATGAATTTTTAATAAATTTTTATTTTTCTTTAATTTCATTAATGTGACAATTATTGTTTAAGCTTAATTTTTTATCATTCGGTCAAAAATAGACAATTAAAAAAAAAATTTTTTTTTAATTCTATTTTTAATAAACTTTGAAATATTACAAGCCATACAACTAAACAATTACCAAATAAGTTGAAAAGTAATTTTCAATATAAATCAAGAAACAAAAAAATGTTCTTAACAGTTTCAGTAGAATTTATTAAAGGAAGTATTACATAATGTAAGAAAAAGTTAGGAAAGACGTCGCGACTGAAAGACGCCTTCGGGGTGAGTCGCGACAGCACAAACAAACGTCTCGCAATATCCCATTATTATAAGCCTGCGTTATAATATACATATATATTAATATAATATAATATAAAATAGTCCAACATGTACACTGTAGAGTCCAATTGTACCGCGGAAGTTTGAAGTGAAGTACAAATCGCCTGCAGATATCCGGCAGAACGAAACATGCTCCGGAAATTTTAGCTACAAGCCCCGTAATAATCCCCGACTTCATCTCCATTATAACACAAAATATTTCCCAAGAATTTATATTACATTTTTGTCGCTCGCCGAAAAAAAAAAAAAAAATGGCACCAGACAAATCAACTTTTACGGCTGCGGATTGCTTTTATTTTTCCTGAGTGAATAGGACAAGAACAAGGCGGAAATTTCGCAAATAAAAATGATATAATTCGCGAGTGGAAAACCGAGGCAATAAGGGAGTGGTCCGTGGAAATGAGTCTGGATTCGCCTCAAGTTTTCGCCAGCGAGAGGATGTGGGATGCGACTTTCAGAGACTTGAAGCATGTTTAAGGTTTAAGATCGCGAGTTCAGGGTAGGGGCGAACAACTTTGAAATTAGCTAGGCGTTAGACCTCCGCCGGATATCTGTTGATAAGCAATATAAATCCTTGAGAAGCTCAACTGCTTGAAAATTATCTCCCCCTTCCACTCAGTGGGTGTGTTTCTTCGCAATCAAAATTTTCCATCCACTCGTTATTCGTTATACAACTTTTTCTTTCATTATATTTACTTCACCCATCACCCTACACTCAACTTTTAAGGTTCAACGGAGTTTAATATTTTTTTAATTTTATGCCTTGTAATACAAACTTGTTAAATGTTATTATTTTTACCGGATAGTATTTTCACCCTTATATATTTATGTACCCGGGGTTTTATTTGTCCACTTGTATACAAATATATATATCTTGAGGATTCCGCCATCCGTTTTCGTTCTTCAGCGTCTGTTTTCTATCCTACAATTTAAGTGCCAAGTTTTTCTTACGGTGTATTCTCGGGAGAACAACATTTTAACAGTGAAAGAGTAGGAGGGTTTACTTTTTAAAAGTCAATGTATTGTTACGCTGAAAAGTTATTTATTTTTATTTTTATTCATTGTTTTTTTTTTCTGAAGTTTTAAATTAATTAAAAAAGATCATAAACATCTCAAATTAAATTCCAATTAGAAAAAATTTGTTATCGCGAAAACAAGCTTGCAAATAAAAGTCAAAATAAATTAGATAATTAAATTAAAAAATTAAGAAACTAGTTGTCAAATAATTAATCTTGAATCCCAATTAAAAGTTTATAAATCACTTCTTAACTACAATTATAAAATCGATGTAAAGTAAATTTAGGTTTAATTGAATAAACATCTTAACGCTCATCCACAAACACTTTAAATTCAAATCCCTCGAAAATCTCAAAAGTTTCGACCTCTCTTCTATAAACGAGTTAAACAGTAAATATGTTCTCGGTCTTGGTCTTGCTATTGGTATTTGGAAACCCTTCTTAGAGCTCTAGTCTAGTGAAAAAACGGATAGTACTTTTGAATTGAAGATGTTTCTCTGTATCTGGTTATCCTCGCCCTAAGTCTAACAGACCGGTCCAGTCTACGTGTAAGTGTAGCCTCATCTTCCTTTCAACCCAACTAAATTACATTTGCCGTACTCTTGAAAAAAACACCTAGCAGTGCCGAGTAAACAATCTTATAAAGATTATTTTTCTTTTACTTCATCAGTTTTTTTTAGACTCTACATCAGAAAACAAACAGTTTTAATTCCGACGCTATATCTGTACATCTACACTGAAGAAAAAAATTCTTGACTGGAGGGTAAATTTTCTTGGCTCAAGAAAATATTAAGGAAGATTGAAAATTTCTTGAATGAAATCAAAATTTCTTGAGCCAAAAAAATTTCTTCTTGCTACAAAATAATTTTTGTCTTCCTTAAAATTTTCTTGGTGCAAGAAGTTTTTTGTTCTGTGTACAAAAAAAGTGGTTGCAGTTGTGTTTGTGTGATTATTATTTCATTTTTTGATGTCAAAAAATGAAAAGGGTAGAACGACATCGATCAACACTTAGTACATTGCAGTCTGGTGACAAATCCCACCGGTGATCATGGAAAATTGATCGGGTAGAGTCTCTTATAGGGAAAAAGTCCAACAAAGGCGTAAGCTTTTCGCTCTGCAGCCCGCAACCTGCAAGACAATCCGATTTCCTTTGTTGAGAAAGTGTGAGAGTGAAAAGACGGAAAACTTTTTTCTCATTATGAACTTGATGTCAAAGAAATTCTATTATTTTTTTTTTTTTGTTTAAAATACAGATGTCAGGATTCGGGAGTTTTTTTTCTTTATTATGTTACAAAGTTTGTACAATTTCGCGAGAAATTGTGTGAAATAAAAATCCATCAGTTTGTACCTTCAATGACTTTTGTTGAAGTTTTATAGTTTAAATTTATTCAATTTTCTCAATATTGATAGAGAAAATTTAACGGATAAATTTTTATGTAAAATCTTGAACAAAAAACTAATAATAATAATTCGCGATATAGATT